CCTTAAGTCAGCTTTTCATTTATTCATTTAATTTATTATCTATTTTCCCACTTTACACAATAAGGCCTCAAAGAGGAAGGAAGCTTGTCTTTCCTGACCAGTGTTTTTTCAAAGTGCCTGACACACAATAATTCCTCTGTCAATATCTATTTAATATAATCATCATAGTAGAGGAACTTAGTAAACTATGTTCTTCTGCATAATTATTTTTTATTTATATTAACTTCCAGTTAATGGGACAAAAAAATTCATTGGCGAGAATGATTGTTTTGAAGCCTATCTGTGATTCCTCCTAAAAAAGAAAATTAAAAAGATGAAATAAATTTCTAATGGGACTGTGAGAAAAATAATGGTTTGCATTACAACACAACTACTCAAAAATTTCCCATATTCCTGTGAATTGTATTTTTAAAAGCCTTATCTGGAACTGGACAATTTCAAAACCCATTGATCTTGCCCTGATGTATAAAACATACCACAGAATTCTTCTAATTCTTCCAGAAACCTGCCAAATGACATACTGTTTCCTTTTGCTTAGGTATTCATTTTTGAGCTTCTCTCTAAAGTGTTTACAATTTTAAAGTTCCAGATTTAATGCCAGTTTAAAATTGTTTAATCATCCACATGTTCACTATTTTTACCACCAAACATACTTTGAAAATTTGCTTCACCTACTAAAGTTTCCTTGAAAACAACAACAACAACAAAAACAAGGCTTATGTCTTTGAATGTCAGGTTCTTATGGGTGTTTCCTTATGAGGCAAACTGTAAAATGTGAAAAATGCAAAAATCTCACTCAATCGCTTCTTCCCATAAGTAGAAGGAAATCAAGTATGTCAAAATGGCATATCCATGATTTAAGTTCATTAATTTTATATTACAAAAGGAGCATTCAGAAACAAACCAGATTGTTTTAAAATAGGATGAAAAAGAATCATCCAACAGTGGAGAAGCCTTGTGTGTATCTTAATTATCTGTAATCTTTTGGATGATAACATTCACAAAGAATGAAAAACTAAGTTTCCTACAACTATTCCCCAAAATCTTTCAAGCAAATCATCTCATAACTTATCCTTTAAAAGTCTAGAGTCAATGCTGCATTTAGTTTCTTTGATAAACACTTTGGGTATAATATGTGTTTTCTTTTGAACAATTCCCAAATATTATATTTTTGTATTTCTATAATGTTTTCAGTACAAAAAAAGTCATCATTTAAAAAAATTAGATTAGGCTCTGCCTATAATATAAAATAAAATAAATGAATATACAGAATGAGGATTTCATTCAATGTTTCTGAAATCATCATAATCCCCTCTGATGTACTTACGTGATCAAAATTAATATGCCTCCCTCTAACCGAAGGGAAAGAAAGTCACTGGGCATAGGGGGAGCTGTGCTGCTCCCAGATCACCTGAGCAACAAGCCAAAAACCAACCCAACATTCTTTATTACTGCTAAATCTAAGACATTTTTATCAGAGGCTACATAGTTCAAAGAAGTTAAATGTGCCATCTCTCTCCTCAAGCCTCCTAAAACAAGTGGTCTTTAACAAGGTATTGCGAAATCTTAAAAGGTTTCCTCTGAAAACTGAAAGTGGCATACTTTTTCTCATTTTAGACTCTTTGATAATCATATGCTAACCACAAAATTCAAAGTATGTCAATGAGTTATAGAGATTTGTTGACATCAAACCTGAAAAGAAGATATGGAACACAAACACCTCCAGCAGCTGAATGTACAAGGCAGAAGTTATTCCTCCTGGCATGACAGAAAAATCCATAGAGTCTGGAGACACACACACCTTGCTACATATTAGCTATGTGACTCAGACAAGTCATTTCCCCTCACTTGTATTATAGAAAGGGTATAACAGTACCTACTGTGTCTTAGAGGAGAGAACGCGCCCACCATCACACATCGAGGACTTTGCTGGTCTCAGAACCAGCCCTTGGAGATAACTGTTATTATGAACCAGAAAATCATTTTTCTGAGTCTACTTTCTAGTCTTAGTGTCTGTACTGAATGGAATGAATGTATTTTTCTTGGCTGAGTCATGACTTTGCAAAACTTCAGTCTTCATCCTGAATATTAATTCTCATTGCATCACACCAGGATCCAAAAGAATGATGCAAATCAAAGTAAATGAGAATTGGCCCTAGGAAGTTGTTTCCTTAACTAAATTCAAGATGCAAGTAGGTTTCTGATGATTTGTTTCTCTCTCCTAAAAAGTTAAGTATGAAAAAGAGGTCCGATTAGTTGGAAATCCTCTAGGCTCAGCTGATCAATCTGACTCTAGTGTGGGAAAATAAAATAAAATGAATAGTTGACTAATAATATTTTTACAAGCAATGTTTGTCTAGCACCTAAAATGCTATGGCTTTCAGAGAGAAAAAATGGTAAACGGTCTATAAATTGAATATATAAAGCACAAATTTAAAAGAAAACTGTATTCTCAAAAAGATTGCTGGATAGTGTCTGGTTGGTAAGAGTATGTTTTGTGGGGAGCAAACAATGGGATTGCTAAACTAATCCCTGGGATTCTACTAAACCATACAAGTGCCTCCTTCAGCAGCCTTGTCCACAGCGCCATCTACTGCCAAGCCACTGTGCCTATAACAGTTTTGCTTCTGCAGCGCCCCAACAGTTAATACCCATGCCTTTGCTTAGCTAAGTTATTTAGGAATAATAATTTTGAAAAAGTCACTTCAAAGTTAAAGGGGAAGGGAGGACATGAAATGAGAGTAAACTCCTGCCAATCATTTAAAATATGTAAATAGCAAACACAATCTTTGGTTACTAACACGTGGCAAATAAGCAGTTTTAAATAAGTGGCAAACAAGTAGTTTTAAATAAGTGAGTTTTCTTATCTGAGCTAGTTAAATTATAAATCCTGCTCTAAGAGGTTTTAAAGCATGAATAAGAATTCTATGCTCTGGTTGATGTATATATAGTAGACATGTTTATCTTTTATTATCTTTTAACACAGTGGGAGTTACTTAAATCTGCTATACCAATGGTTCTTTCCACTGGGAATTGGAAGTAGGATTCTAAACGTAGAGAACAAGGGAGTGCAAGGGAAGTCAGAGATGGGGTTCAGAGCCCAGGTTTTCCCTAATGTCTAGGCTTCTCTTTGAACAATTAGCCTCTTAAGGACAATCAGGTCTCCTTATGAAAGGCACCAGGGCACAACTAGATTCAAGACTGTGGTCCTTCCCTTAGAGATCCACTATGTAAGATGAATTCAATCAACCCTTACCATGCATAAGGATACATAGAGCAGCTTGTCAGTCATAGGCAAAACAACAACCCAACTTCAGCCCTGATCTAAAATTAAACCACAGGCTTAAAATAGATCATGATCTAACAAACCAGAATTTAAAAAATGAAAACAACCATTTTCCAAACAGAAAGAAACACATAGCTTGATAAGAAAAATTAAAAGTAATATTATCTGACACCTAGAACCATATGCAAGGCACAGTTCTAAGCACTTTATAGATTATCGGGTTGACAAGGCACTGCTACCCCTGTTGAATTAGCGACTTTATGGTGTACAACCTATAGTAATACCGCAGATTAAATACCGTAGGGTAAACCAATAGGATGTTATGAGCGAAGGATTCTAGTTTACCATTAACTCACCCTTATTTTAGAACAACTATGATTAATAAATAGCTTATCTGAATGACCAGGGGTTGTGATGTCACAAAAATGAGTGCAAGAAATTAATACAAGTATCCCCCCAGAAATGACTACGTGTAAATTGGGAGGGAAATACTAAATAAATACCTTCTTCACCAACAAAGGAAATAAGGAAAATGGAAGTCCCACTATTCGTATTGCAAAAATGCTTATTGTACTATCACATTCCCTTTTGAGAAACAGACCAGTTTGCAATCCTTATAACACCAGCAGTGCAATGTTGTCACAGATGTGTGCCAGATTTTGCACAGGACATAAACTGGCTGTGAGGAAGAACCCAGAGTTTGCCTATTTTTTGGCAGGAAAGCCTGCACTTTTCTGTGTGTGTGTGTGTGTGTGTGTGTGTGTGTGTGTGAATAAATCTGAATAATAACTTGAAAGGGTTAAAAAGCCGGGCACCAGGTGTTTTCTTTCCACTTTCCAGAGTAGTTTAAGCACACTGCAAAGTTATCTCCCTTCCTTCCCCAGAAGCCAGCTTAGGGGAGACCTGTCACTGCCATTTACACTGTACAGCTTCAGCTCTAAACAATAGGAGGGCACCAGGCTGGGCAGTAGGCTTCGGGGCCTCCCACAGCCTGCATGGGCTTTGTTGCCAAGTTATGAGCTCCTCTGGGTGATGGGGCCACGAGTGAGCCAAGGAGAATTTAATTCTATTTCAAATCTGTATGCTTTCAAAGAAAATAGAGACAATTGAGGCCAACGGAGGAGCTGGAAGGGGTAACCAAAAGCAAACTTTTGGAACCTCAGAATCTAAATTTCTTGCAATAATTCCCAGCCAAGGATTAGCTGGTATTGATATTCCCAAAGTATTTAACACTGAGATTAGAGACCATTCAAGGAGCTACAGCTGAATGGAGTCCCCATCCCTCGTAGTCCCACTCCTCCAGCAGCAACCGGCAGGCGCGCTTTCGGAGCCCACCTCCGCTCCGCAGCGCGGCCAGCTTCCCCCGCCCTGGCTCCAACTCCGGCCCCAGCCCCGGCCCCGTGCCCGGCCTCCTAGCCGAGCTCGGGACGCGCAGCCAAGCCGAGCGCAGAGGGGGCGCGGGGCAGGCAGCGGCACTGCGCCTCCCCCGGCGGGCCAGAAAGCCGGCCGGGGTCCGCCTGGGGCGGTGAGGCCGGGCTGAACGGCGACCCGGCCCCGGCGGAGAATCTGCAGGCGAAAAGCCGGCTTCGCTCCGCGCCGCCCGGCCGCGCGCAGCTCCAGCATTGTCCGTAGTCGGGGCGCGGCGCGACCACTGAAACCGAATCCCAACCCGGGCCAAGCAGTCCCCTTCCCGGCCCCCACCGCCCACTCTTACCTGGGCCGCTCACCTCAGTCCCTGGCGGTGCGGCCAGAGCCGGGCGCCAGGCTCCCGAGGACTGCGAGGAGGGAGAGCCTGGGCCCGTTAGGGGCGGAGGGCCGACAGCCGGCGGTAGGGGCGGCCGAGTCCTCGCGGTCGCTGCCGCGGGGCCGCAGGCAAGGCGCGGGCGGGGCTGGCGGAACGGGCCCAGGACGCGCGGCCGCGGAGGGCCCAGCTGGCGGCGGCCGCGACGGTCAGGTCTGCACCGACTGGGAGGGCTCAGGCAGGCTTCGCCGGAGAACGAGGGAGGGAACTTGGAGCCAGTTGCTGTGGCCGAGAGCGCGTGTCCCTGAGCGAGTGCACACGCCCCTCGAGAGCCCCGCCCCGCCTCCATCCCGCCCCCACCCCACCTTCCGGGTCCCCACCCCTGTCGCACCTCCACTCCAAGTCGTCGGCGCCCCCAATTCCTCCCCCTCCCCCACTCCCACCCTCACCCTCACGCCAGCACCCCCACCCCGCTCCCATCCGGTGACCTAGCTGGATCTCGGACTGCCACCCCAGTGCAGATCCGCTCAGCACTGGAGACCTAGAGCCTGTGTCCTGAATGAAATAACCCCACCTGATTGCCAAGCCATCCAAACGTTTTGGTGCCTGACGTTTTCTGTTTACTAACTTTCATATACTCAGATGGAGCGTCCTAACTCCATTTCTGAAGGCATTTTTAGGCCTTCGAAAAAAATGTTTGGAGAAAATAGTAAAGAATGATAAAAAATATCAAGCATGGTGTTCTACCTCGGCAATGTGGGCCAGTTGATGTTTTAAAATGAAGTGTTTTGGGGTGCATCATTATTAATCGCCTAATAAGTTATTTGAGAATACTTTCTACTTAGATTTGCCTAATAAGTTCATTGTTTCAGGAGAGGGATCATTTTAGGAAGACTAAACACATTGTAATTTAGCTTTGCTATTGCAAACTCTAAAAGATAAAATCCATCTTTATCAAAATGAATTTAAATTGGATACGGACTCACGAAATAACTGTTTCTTCTAGAAAATATTTAGCAAGGATTTCTTTTTAATCTCTAGTACATTGAAAATACAGTTACATTCATCTCATTTTCTCAGAAAGATCGTTTATATTTGAATTGTGCTTCAACTTCAATGAATCTATTGTTTCATAATAGTTAAGAAGTTGCCAACTAAATAAAACTCAGACTTCTATAATAAATTTTTTTGCTATTTAAAAGACTACCATTTTAAGAAAGTGACATGATACTGGGATTTAAATGGAACTTTCCTTTGGCATGCTAATGCATTCCTTGTGATCACAGATTAGGTTGTGGTCTCCATTCACTCCAAAAGTCACATAACAGTAGAAATAAATTATTTTTCATCATTCCCATAGCAAATGGAACCAACTTCTCTCCCTCTCAAGTACCTTTTTTTTTTTTTTCACTTCTTTGCCCCAATCCCTCCCTTTTAGGAATTTCCCCCTCGCATTGGGTGTGACTAGCCCACAGACATTGTGAGGGATATGACCCAAGCCAGCCAATTAGAATATCCTCTGGGAACAAAGGAGGAGGGTCCTTTCCCTCACTGACAGGGCAGCTCCTGAGACCATATCATACAAGTGTACAGCAGCTGGAGTCAACCTAGCAGCTGGAGTCAAGGTACTGGAGAGTAAAACAAAACTAGAAAAAAGCTATGCTAAGCAATGGAGATAGAAAAGAGCCCTGATGACATCAATGACCATCTGTAGGTAACTACCTCTAAAACCAGTCAAATCCCTAAACTTCTGACGGAATGCACCAATAAATTGTCTTTCTTACTTAATGCCATTTTGAGTTGTTTCTTTCCAAAAGATTCACTTAAAAAGTCATAAAATATTCCCCTATGATCCATGCTTTGAAAATCAGGAATGCAACCATTGAGTTTAGCTTTTCTTTCTCTCTCTTTTTTTTTTTTTTTTTTTTTGGTGACGGAGTCTTACTCTGTCACCCAGGCTGGAGGGCAGTGGCGTGATCTCGGCTCACTGCAACCTCCAACTCCTGGGTTGAGCAATTCTCCTGCCTCAGCCTCCCCAGTAGCTGAGATTACAGGCGCATGTCACTATGGCCAGCTAATGTTTGTATTTTTAGTAGAAACAGGGTTTTGCCATGTTGGCCAGGCTGGTCTCGAACTCCTGACCTCAGGTGATCCACCCGCTTTCACCTCCCAAAGTGCTGGGATTATAGTCGTGAGCCACTGCGCCCAGTGAAGTTTTAGCTTTTCTATTGCCTAATCTACTTCTTGATAATAAAGTATATGCCGAGGTGATCACTTAGTAGGAAGCCCTAACTCTTATTATTAAGGTTCTCATTTAGGCTTTTACTATCGCCCAGTGTAGATTTAATGGCCCCAAATTGTCCTCACCAAAACCAAAAACCAATTAAAGATGTAGTTAAAGAACCAGAGAGAACACAATAAAACATCTATGCTGGAATATTTCCGTAAATATTTTGTCTTATCAATTATGCCAATACAACATGCTGTCATAATCCCTAATGTTTGCTGATTTAGGACATAGTTTTCTTATCTTGGGGACTGAAAATGTTAAGGCCTGCTACAAATTTTCAGGAAATGTTGAAATTAGTTGTTTCTACTGGAATTTTATTGTGTTGTTTATTCTTCAGAAGTGGGCCATTAGCCTAGGCTTGGAATTCTTTTGTTTCACAGAGATTTCTGTCTCCAAAAACATGTAACAACATTTGACTAGTACCCAAACAAGCATCCATACATGAATCAGTATGTAATTTAATCATTACTCACAGGTCACGGTGGACAGTGGGACTATTCCTAGCAAAGGAGGGAGCCTAAGGACATGCAGTTATTAGCCCTACTGCTGTGACTGCCAGAATGGTTATGTGAGATTGGTTATGCCAGGCGCATTGGCTCACACCTGTAATCCCAGCATTTTGGGAGGTCAGGAGTTCAGACCAGCCTGACCAATATGATGAAACCCCATCTCTAAGAAAAAAAGAAAGAAAATGTGAAACTGGAAAGACATGAGTTCAGAGTTTTCACTAGTCTTTCTCCAGATAGGTATGTACCTAAGTCGTGTCAACAACTAGTGAAACTTTAAATGTATAAAAGCCCTTGAGCTGAATAATAATATGTCATGAATAGATGCAAGCCTCACAAAAGGAGAGTACAAGGAAGTAAACCATCTCTGAAAACAAGACTACTAAAGCAGCTTGGGAGGAAAGGTAAAAAGTAAAAAAAAAAAAGAGTTCTGGAATCCAGGCCCAGCTCCAAGTGGCACTTGTTCCAGTGATTGGTTATGCCAGGGAAAATGCCAGTCAAATATCCAGAGTACCCCCAGCATGCCTGTATTGGATCAGTGGGATGTTTGTACACATTTTCTTGCCCAAGAGTGGTACAACAGTCCCTCAATTAACTTAGGGTCATTCAGACCACCCTATCTGTCCACAGATCCCCCTGAAATCATGGCATATGTCAGAGGTCTTCAAACCACGAAACAGAATCACCTGTAGTACTCCCAACAAATGCCAGGTCTCTAGGTTGAGGGAGGACAGATAGGCATGTGTTGTTTTTTTTTTTTTTTTTTTAAAGCCCTGCCCAAAAGAGTGTAGCAAATCTGGCAGGGCTAAGGTAAATAAGGCCTGTGAATTTGTGCACTCAATTACACAGAAAAAGACTTGAGAAACCCTCAGCCCTCAGATCAGACTCCATTGAATTCGAATTGTATGTAAAATTAAACTTATTGATTGAACAAGCTCAATTTGTATTTTCCCCTTAACAACCATAGTTCTGAGGAAATAGAAAAAAGCAGCGAGGAATGCACCTTATGAGGAGCGGGAGGATTTGCTAGAAGTAATCTCACTGAAAAAAGGCAGCTCGCAGCAAGGCTGAGATAAGAGAATCACTAAATAGAAAAGCATTGTTAGTGGCTGGACTAAGAGGCCACTCCACTCCATCCTGGACAACAGCCCCTGGGGTTCCCTCATGCTGCTTGCTTCTCAGCATAGTTCTTGTTCAGGCTGGCGATCAGAAGATCAAAACAACAGAATTATGTTATTGAATATGGACCTCCATCATTTAGTACTAACAACTGCCATTTATCGAAACTCTGTGCTAACAGTTTACATGTTTTATTTTCAGCAGTCACAACGGCCCTAAACATAAATATTATTGATTCCCACTTTAAGAACAAGAAGTTCAGGCCCGGAAAAGAGATAAATTCAAGGTCACAGAGTTAGTGATTAGAGGACTTAAAGGCTGATCCTTATGAGCCCAAAGCCTATAGATCTTTACTGTAAGCCTAACTTGCCAATGAATCTCACAAATTATCTATGCAATAAGAGAGTCAGTAGTCACAGGAGGCTATTTAAGTTTAAATGAATTAAACTTTTGTGGAATTTATATTCATTAAATTAAATTAATTAATTAATTAAATTTTTTTTTGAGATGGAGTTTAGCTCCTGTCACCCAGGAAGGAGTACAATGGCACAGTCTCAGCTCATTGCAACCTCCACCTTCCAGGTTCAAGCAATCCACCTGCCTTGGCATTCTAAACTGCTGGGATTACAGGAGTGAGCCACTGCATCTGGCCTCATTACATTTAATTTAAATTCATTGGATTAAATACTCTGTATTGTACATGTGAATAAATTGCAAGTTTCTCAGCCACACTGGCTAGTTTTCAAGTGCTCTGCAGCCACAGGCAGCTTATGGCTGCCTTTGGGCTGCACAGATAAATGCCCCCATCACTGCAGAAAGTTCTATCCAATGACTTGGATGCTGCTCAGATTTATCCATATCATCATCAATTAAGGCAGTGTTCTTCATGACTGAATTTTCCAAGTAAATTACCCCAACCCTTTTATGTTAACTGTTTTGACGAAATTCTTTCTAAAATGGGTAAGACTTTTCTGTGGCGGCCATAATCAGCAGGGCATACTCAACTGAGTGCCTCTGAGGCATGCAGGGTCAGGAGCCCACCCACAAGGCACCAGAATGCCATGCTTGAGAGCTGTGCATCTCTTCTCCCTGTGTTATCTCAGTTCTTACCTGTAGTCCTTACTTCTGCAGAGTACCTGCTTGCCATTGGCCAGAGTATGGTGTTTGCTGACCCTCTGCCCTTGGCCTGCTTCTATCTGTCCACTTCCTCTCCCTATTGGTTGTTTGGTTTTCCAGTTCCATGTTTTCAGCCACTACTGATTTACCAGTGACTCTAGAATTTTTATCTTTAACTTCCACATATTTTTCTAATCTGCAGAGCAGTTTTCTTTTCTAGCTCTCTATTTGGCTAGTGCTACTCAA